CCATCCCTGGCCTAACACGGGTTGGAAACCCCTCGTCTCTACTAAAAATACAAAAAACTAGCCGGGGTGAGCCCCTACACCTGGCTAATTTTGTATTTTTAGTAGAGATGGGGTTTCTCCATGTTGGCCAGGCCAGTCTCGAACTCCTGACCTCAGGTGATCTGCCCGCCTTGGCCTCCCAAAGTGTTGGGATTACAGATGTGAGCCACCGCGTCCGGCCTATGCCACCTTATTTTATTCCATCCCCCATTTTGAGGCTTTTTTGGGGGTAAATTCCTAATGTAATCCAGTTTACAGTACTATAAACACCCGCCTGACTGTTCTCTCTGAGCCACCCCTCTCTCCTCTGTGTGCTGGCTCCAGCCTCCTCCTCAGTGTGCCAGCATAAGGCCCACACTTCACACCAGGTTGTGCACCGAGCCCTTTGTCTCTGCTGCAAAGCATCCTCCTTTGTACAATTGTTCACTGTGGAGGCAGGGCCCTGGCCTCACTTCTTTCCCAGAGGCTGAGTTTGGGAGTGGGGAACTGGGCCCCTCATTTTCCAGTAGTTCACCAAGTGATCTCTCCATGCTGTTATTTTTATTTTGTTAAATTTAAATTGATCTTTACTATTTTAACTTTTTTTTTTTTTTTTTTTAGTTGTAAATAACTTTATTGTTACTTTCAAGAACTTTCCCCAAACTCACTGGAAACGGCTCAGTTTTTTTTTTTTTTTTTTTGAGACAGAGTCTTACTCTGTTGCCTAGGCTGGAGTGCAGTGGCATGATCTCGACTCGCTGCAACCTTCGCCTGCCAGGTTCAAGTGATTCTCCTGCCTCAGCTTCCTGAGTAGCCAGGATTACAGGTGTGTACCACCATGCCTGGCTAATTTTGTATTTTTAGTAGAGACGGGGTTTCACTATGTTTGCCAGGCTGGTCTCGAACTCCTGACCTCCAGGTGATCCACCCGCCTTGGCTCCAAGTGCTGGGATTATAGGTGTTAGCCACCACCTGCCACTATTTTACCTTTTTTTTCTTTTGAGATGGAGTCTTACTCTGTTGCCCAGGCTAGAGTGAAGTGATCTCGGCTCACTGCAACCTCCGCCTCCTGGGTTCAAGCAATTCTCCTGCCTCAGCCTCCTGAGTAGCTGGGATTACAGGCATTCGCCACCGTGCCCAGCTAAATTTTATATTTTGTATTTTTAGTAGAGACAGGGCTTTACCATCTTGGCCAGGCTTCAATGCCTAACCTTGTGATCCACCTGCCTTGGCTTCCCAAAGTGCTGGGATTATAGGCATAAGCCACTGCGCCCAGCCTATTTTTCCTTTTTAAGTGATTGGAGGGGGGGGTCTCATTATGTTGCCCAGGCTGGCCTTGAACTCCTGGCCTCAAGCAATCCTTCTGACTCAGGGTCCCAAGTAGCTGGGACTACAGGCACAAGCCACCCAGCTACTGTTATTTTGAGATGGAGCTTCGCTCTTGTGTCCCACGCTGGAGTGCAGTGACGCAATCTTGGCTCACTGCAACCTCCACCTCCGGGGTTCAAGCGATTCTCCTGCGTCAGCCTCCCGAGTAGCTGGGATTATGGGCGCATGCCACCACGCCCAGCTGATTTTTTTGTATTTTTAGTAGAGACAGGGTTTCATCATGTTGGCCAGACTGGTATCGACTTCCTGACCTCAGGTGATCCATCCACCTCCGCCTCCCAAAGTGCTGGGATTACAGGCATGAGTCACCATGCCCGGCCCAGCTACTATTATTTTTAACTGTTAATACAACTAGTAAGTACCACTGCATGCCTCTCATGTACTAAGTGGTTCATGTTATCACATTCATCTCGTAACAGTCCTGTGGCACAGAGGTCATTATCCTCTTTTATGAATGAGGAGACTGAGGTTACAGAACTTTTGCCTAAGGCCACACAGCTGGGCAGTGGTCAAATGAAGATCTGAACTTGGGGTGTCTAGCTTAAAAGCCCAAGCAATTTCCACTATACTCTGCTGCCTTCCTCTAAAAAATAACAGCTACCAGCTTTGTATAGGTTAGGCAAACCTTATCTTAATCTCCTACATTTATACAGGGATTTGTCATTTTTATAAGGTGCTTTTGATCCTGATTTTTTTTTTTTTTTTTAAGACAGAATCTCCCTCTGTCGCCCAGGCTGGAGTGCAGTGGCGCAATCTTGCACTGTAACCTCTGCCTCCCGGGTTCAAGCAATTATCTGCCTCAGCTTCCCGAGTAGCTGGGATTACAGGCAGCCGCCACCATGGCTGGCTCAGTTTTTGTATTTTTAATAGAGATGGGGTTTCATCTTGGGCAGGCTGGTCTTGAACTCCTGACCTCATGATCCACCTGCCTCAGCCTCCCAAAGTGTTAGGATTACAAGCGTGAGCCACCTCACCCGGCCCTGATCCTGATTAAAAAAAAAGGTTTTTTTTTTGTTGTTGTTTTTTTTTGGTAGAGATGAGGTCTCACTACATTGCCCAGGCTGGTCTCAAACTCCTGGCCTCAAGTAATCCTCCTGCCTTGGCCTCCCAAAATGTTGAGCTTATAGGTATGAGCCACTTGGCCTCAATCCTGTTTTTTCATTGGGCTATCAAAGAAACCCAAATTAGGGCAGGATGGAGCTATGTATCTTATTTCGTAGATGAGAGAACTGAGGCTCAGAGGGCTAAGGGACTTGGCCAAGGTCACACACCAACTGTGTGCTGGAAGATCTAATTTGTGTGTGTGTTATTTTCAGACAGAGTCTGTTCTGTCCCCCAGGCTGGAGTGCAGTGGCACGATCTCAGCTCACTGCAACCTCCGTCTCCTGGGTTCAAGCGATTCTCTTGCCTCAGCTTCCCAAGTAGCTGGGATTACAGGTGTCTGCCACCATGCCCAGCTAATTTTTGTATTTTTAGTAGAGATGGGGTTTCGCAATGTTGGCTAGGCTGGTCTCAAACTCCTGACCTCAAGTGATCCACCCGCTTTGGCCTCCGAAAGTGTGGGATTACAGGCATGAGCCACTGTGCCTTGCCTGGAAGATCTAATTTGAATTCTGATCTTCCAACTCCTGAGCTTTTCCCCCGGTCCAAAGATGCCTTGCTATCATGTCAGTCACCAAGAAATCCCCTCGAGTGTGGCTCAACGTCACCAGGATAAGCATCTTCACCACGATGTGTGTATAGGGCTCTCTCTCGACATGGGAAAAAGTGGCTGCTGACCACCGATAGGCAATTTCCCTTGTACCTCCAGTGTCTTCTTCAGAGTGGAGATGTTTTCACTGCAGACTTCCACGTTGTTCAGAGTCACCTGGGAGATGAGGAAGGAAGAACGTGACTTCCTGCCGACTGTGCCTGCCACCCACTCCAATGCCAGACTGGCTGACAGCTGCGCTCCATGAAGCTCAGAGAAGGGCTGGCTGGAGTTCAGACTCGGGCTAGTGAAAGCCCACACCGCTACATCTGAGCAGGACGCTCAGATCTGGGATTGGGCAGAATGGGGAAGCAGGCTGGCCCTTTCTTCTGTGCCTGATACCAGGGAGCCTAAAGCTATCAGGACCTCAGAGGTAGTGAGCTCAGGTTTCAGGTCTTCTTGTACTGTGTTACCTACAAAGCAGAAATGACTCAGGCATACAGGTCTGGGATAAGTTCTGAGGCTCCAAATGGTCAAGCCCCAGGTCAGTGACACAAAGCCTGACACTCATTAAAGAAAAGCTTCCACAGAGCCTGCCACCTATGAGGTATTGTCTCATTCTTTAACTCATGGAGTCTGCCAAATACCCCCACAGAACACATATTATCAAGCCCAGTACATGGGAGGAAATGAGACACCTCAGAAGGTAAAATGATTTGGCCAGGCGCGGTGGCTCATGCCTGTAATCCCAGCACTTTGGGAGGCCGAGGCAGGTGGATCAAGAGGTCAGGAGTTCAAGATTAGCCTGTCCAACATGGCAAAACCCTGTCTCTACTAAAACTACAAAAAATTAGCCGGGCATGGTGGCAGGCGCCTGTAATCCCAGCTACTCGAGAGACTGAGGCAGGAGAATTGCTTGAACTTAGGAGGTGTAGGTTGCAGTGAGCTGAGATTGCGCCACTGCACTCCAGCCTGGGTGACAAGAACAAAACTCCGTCTCAAAAAAAAAAAAAAAAAAGTAAAAGGATTCACCAAGGTCAGACAGCAACTGATTCAGCAAATATTTACTGAGCACCTGGATGTGTCAGGCACGGTTCTGGGCACTGAGAGAAAGTAATTAACAGAACAGACATGGTCCACGCCTCACAGAACTGACATTCCAGAAGGGAAGCCAGATAGTAAACAAATGCATTATATAATGTCAGGAAGTATAATAAAGCAGGATAAGGGACAGACACTCAGAGTGACAAGGCCACAAAGCTGGAGCCAGGCTTAGAATTTGGGTCTCTGAGCTTCCAGATGGATAAACAGGTGGAGGTTCCTGGGGAGTGGCCACCTGGGGGCATGGAAGCTCCATACCCCTTCCCCCATAATTTGCCCTCTTCATCTCTTCATCTATATCCTATATAATATCCTTTATAATAAACAAATAAACTAAAAAAATGAATTCAGGTCTCCCTACTCTGGTCCAAAGATGACTTTTTTCATAACACGACTGCCTTACAGACTAGGTGCAGAAATACCAATGATAAAAGTAGCATGGGCACGGTGGCTCACTCCTGTAATCCCACACTTTGGGAGGCCGAGATGGGTGGATTGCCCGAGGTCAGGAGTTCGAGACCAGACTAGCCAACATGGCAAAACCCCGTCTCTACTAAAAATACAAAATTAGTCGGGCGTGGTGGCAGGTGCCTGTAATCCCAGCTACTGGGGTTGCTGAGGCAGGAGAATCGCCTGAACCTGTGAGGTGGAGGTTGCAGAGAGCCAAGATCGTGCTATTGCACCCCAGCTGGGGCAACAAGAACGAAACTCCATCTCCAAAAAAAAAAAAAAGTAGCATGGGGCAAAAGTATTAAGGCACTAATTGCTCTGGCCATTCAGAGAAAAGAACAAACTGTTTTGGTGTGAGGCATTCAAGGAAGGTTCCATGGCAGAGTTGGTAGCTGAGCTGAACATAAAAGGGTAGAACACAATTCTGACAGGAGATGAAGGTGAGAACATTTCTCCACCCCCATCAGCCTCTCTCTAGCTCACTGTCCTATTTGATATTTTCTTTTTTTTTTTGAGGCGGAGTCTCGCTCTGTCGCCCAGGCTGGAGTGCAGTGGCCGGATCTCAGCTCACTGCAAGCTCCGCCTCCCGGGTTCCCGCCATTCTCCTGCCTCAGCCTCCCGAGTAGCTGGGACTACAGGCACCCGCCACCTCGCCCGGCTAGTTTTTTGTATTTTTTTGGTAGAGACGGGGTTTCACCGTGTTAGCCAGGATGGTCTTGATCTCCTGACCTTGTGATCCGCCGTCTCGGCCTCCCAAAGTGCTGGGATTACAGGCTTGAGCCACCACGCCCGGCCTTGATATTTTCTTAACAGTCCTTAGGATTTCCTGACATTGTCCAGTTTATCTATTTCTTGTCTGCATGGATCTAGCCTGTTTTCTTCACCACTGTATGTCTATACAGCACTATCTACCTTTCTGGTTGATGGAAATATTCTAACTGCACTGTCTGGTACGGTAGCCCCCAGCCATATGTGGCTATTGAGCACCTGAAGCTTAGCTAGTACAACTCAGGAAGTGGATTTTTAATTTAAATGTAAATTTCAATAGCTACCTGTGGCTGGTGGCTACTATGTTGGGCAGTGTAGCTCTAGAACCCAGAACAGTGCCTGAAATTTAGAAGTTTCTCAATAAATATTTGTGGAATGAGTAAGACAGTGAATGAACATATTCTGGAAAGGGGATAATATAAGCAAGTGCAGAATGGCAGAAAACCCAAAAAGGTATTTGGGAAATAGCAGACTCAGTTCACAGACACGTGAAGGGAAGTGGCAGGACGTAGAGCTGCGAGGGGCAGAGCCTGACGGGGACTTGGGTGTTCTGCTCCAAAGTTAGCCCTGTGACCTGTGGACAGTGGGCTGGTACTGAGGATTTTTAAAGCAGGTGAATGCCACATGAGCACAGCCGTGGTTCGAGAATACTCATCTAGAGGCCATGTGTGGGAGGAAATAGAGGGCCTGGGGATCCCACTGCTTGTGAACTGGTGTGCTAGGGGCATGATCAGGAAGGCAGGGGTGAGGTAAGGAGGAGTCAGACTTCGAGACATGAGTCAGGAGCTTCAGGATTTCAGCGTAAAAGGAGGATCTCAGAACCCCAGGGGCTATGATTAGGAAGTCCCTCTCATCTTCCCCAGAGTGCTTCCCTTGTCAGTGTCCTGCAGCCAATGCTGAAAGTCATGATGCTGACAGTGCTGCTTAGGCTACTCTGATGTGGACAGATAAGCCTAAAGGTCTTTCTTTAACACGCCATAACATGAGGCCTCTAATGTCACAAGTTTCCAAATAACTGTCCTGTCATGACAGCTGAAGGATGAAAGCCATAAGTGTTTCCAAGGCATTTAAGAGCACCAAGAATAACTGTCATGAGTACTTATGGATTTGAGTTCAAATGGTATTGATTTCAAAGTTTCCCCTGTACTGACAGCCCTAGTAAGCGTGGATTCACTGGGCTTATTCCCTACCCACAGTGCATGATGTCAGTACAGTTGGAGAATTCATCTTGACAGCCAGATGAATCAAGGTGACATAAAAAATAGGCCCTGCAATGGGAGTGATGACATTTTAAATCCTTGGTGTCAGGAAAACCAGAAACCTGTCACCAAGCATTTAGTATCGCCTTTCTTTTTGGTCTTATCTTCTGGGGCCTCAAACAATGAAGCTGTGTTAATGGGAGGTCCTCACAGAGCGAACATGCACTGGCTGGTTTTGGAGACGTGTAGTCAAGTGGTGGAAAATGGAACTGAAAAGGTGCGATGGGTTAGATTTAGGAGGGTTAAACGGAGACATCTAGCTTTGATGTGGTAGGCAGCAAGCAGCCAATGATTATTTCTGAGCACAGAAATGAAAGTAAGTTCTGTAAATAAAATCAAAGAATACAAACAAAATAAAAATTTAAGTTGGTTCATGATGTGATGCTGGTTGCTGGGCATTTTGGCAAAGTTCTCCAAAGGTAACAAATTTCACAGGCAACAGTTTTTTGGATCTGATCTGTTTTTGGCAGCAACTGTCATATCCTAGATTGACAGAAACCATGTCCAGGGCAAACATTTTTTATGACAGGAAGAGAGTGGGGCTGCCTAAACAGCTTTCGTATTGGATCTGTCTCATAACCTGCTACTATGGGTTCCTCTGCACAGGGGTTGGTAGATATTAGCAAGTTTAGGCTTCTGTCTCTGAAAGTAACAGCTCTGAACTCTTTTGGGGGTCACAGATCCTTTTAAGAATATGATAGCCAGGCACGGTGGCTCATGCCTGTAATCCCAACACTTTGGGAGGCCAAGATGGGTGGATCACTTGAGGTCAGAAGTTCGAGACCAGCCTGGCCAACGTGGCAAAACCCAGTCTCTACTAAAAAAAAATTAGCCAGGTGTGGTGGTGCACGCCTGTAATCCTAGCTACTTAGGAGGCTAAAGCAGGAGAATCGCTTGAACCGGTGAGGCGGAGGTTGCAGTGAGCCAAGATCACGCCATTGCACTCCAGCCTGGGGAACAAGAGCAAGACTCCATCTCAAAAAAAAAAAAAAAAAAAGATGTGATAAAACGCTCGGCCCTGTGTTCCGAAAGAGTGACGTGAAATTTTTGCATCCAACCCCACCTGTGGACTACAGATGATAGCTCTTGTCTACTAGATGTTCTCTTTCAGGCTCTGAGCCTCAGGAGTCAAGACTCAGAGGTGTGCCAATGTAGGGGCTGGAGCAGAATGGACCTGGACTGTGCTACTCCCGTGCGTTGCTAAGACAGCATGTGCCAGAGAGGCCTGATCCTGAGCTTAGTACTCATTTGTATTCTCTCTGGCTCATCATAAACTGCTTGTTGCTTTGTACAAATTTTTCCATCCTTCTGCTGCTTCTCCTTTCCACACAACAGCAAGGCTTGCTGCTTTATAACATCTGTCGTTCCAGGTAGCTAAGGGCTTTAATAAGGCCTCCTTTCCAGAGGAATTGAAAGACTAAGACATGTGCCTAGTTAGAGCAGTGCTGGCAGGCCTGAAGGACTGGCGCGCCTGCCCATGCTGCGGCCTCTCCTCAGAGACAGCAGGCTGGTGGCCTGGCAACAGATGGTGGCAGTTTGGTTCTGTGGCAGATGGCAAGCCAAGCTTGACAGTCAGTGGGCCTCCTCAGCAGTGCTGGGCAGCATCTGGGGAATGAATGCTAGTGATAGCTGGGGCAGGCCAGCCTCTGTGTGGCTCAGGCTGTTCAAGATAACATCCCTGAGTTAAGAAATCGTTTCAGAACCTTCTAGGAGAACTTCTCTTTAAAGAGGAATTTTCCTTCTATATAGGGACACTGGAGGAAGGTCTCTAGCTAGAGCATATACTGTTGGCTTAGCAGTCATAGTGTAACCTCTCAAGATAAACCAACCCAGCTCGTGAGCTGTGGGGGTACCTACCAGGAAGGACAGCTTCGCCTCGTCAGTACCTCTCGATGCCTTTTGTGTCAAATTTTGCCCTTGCTGGGGCTGCTGTGCATGAGTTCCACCTAGGCACTGTCACGCGG